AGGGCTAGGAATGGGGAAAAAATAAGAACCAAGATGCATTATGTAAAGGTACATTTCCCAGTGAGAAATGTAATTGTGCTGTATACCTACAATGTACCAATAAAAGAATTTAATAAAATAAATAAACAAATAAAATGTACCCATTGATGTGATCTGAGATCAAAGCCTATGTATAATCAAATATTTATATTTGCTGTTTGGTAAGGTGAGGTTGGGGGTGGGGACAAAACTACGTTCCCTAAGAAAGGGAGTGAAATAAAGCATCACACTTTGATAATTATTGGGAAAATGTTACAACTAGAATAATTTATAGCTTTATTTTCTTGTGTTATAATTCCTAGTTCCACTACAAAAATCTAATATAGTAGTATTATAGTACCAAACTATAGACTGATTGTTAAGGGGAAAATTTTTGGGACAAGGAAGTTCTACTTTCTTATACTCTAAAAGGATGTCATTGTAAGATTCATAGGTGATTCTCAAGAGTAGTAGTAGAGGAGGCATAAGTATATTTAGACTTTTCCTTAATGAGTCCCATGGTTAGAATTAAAGTTTTATAGCGGCCTTTGTGACCTTAGAAACTGAGTTCTACCATGTGGATGCTGGATGTTGACATAAAATATTCTTTAGCAAATGAGGGGCATTATATTCTTTCAGTACAGAATAGTGTTGGAAAGGGAGAAAGGCTGCAGTTCTATATCCTAGTTACTTTCTGTCTGTTGCTGACTTGTTATGGCTGGAGGATGGGTCCCCTCCTTCCCTGAGAAGCATATGAAGTGTTGCTCTCTTCACCTTCCTCTCTGCTTCTGGAAACTTCCTAGTTTCTTAGTATCATGGAAAATTTTTCATCTGGAATTTGTATGTTGGCTTATTTGGGGATGTTCTTAAAAATCTTTTGAGTTTATAAATTGTATTTTTAAAAACTAAGAAATATTTATTACATTATTTTCTAAAGTATGCTAATATATTTTACCACATAAGAATGTTTCTATCTTTATATAACGCAGCATTTTTTTTCCAGGAGGCTTCAAAGAGTTCATGAGACCCACAAATAATATGCTTAATTTTTTAAAAAATTAAATGTTAATATGTTCATCCCCCCAGGGCTATGTCTTTCATCTAATTCTTAATACCCAAAGGGTGAAAAGTTGTCTATAAAATTATGGAATCATAACTTAAGGAACCTCTTAAATTTCTCTTGTTTGGCTTCCCTGACTTATGGTCTTTAGGCCTCAGTTTGAATAGTAGTTTATGACTCTGAGCCAGTACAGTACTTTACTGCTTTACCGCTGTATGAGGCAGTCTGCCCTCTGGTTATGTGGTATAATTGTTAAAACAATTCTTCCTTCCTTTGATGTACAACAAAAAAAAAGGTCTACAGTGAAGCTCTTCTGCAAAGGAACAAGCTGCCTCAATGGAAAAGCATTCTATTAATATTCTCTGGGTAGCATAGACTCTTTTCTCTCTAACTGGATATCTTCTTTTTCTTTTCATCCTGTACCTCAAACATGGAATAAACATCTCCAGGCTCAAATACAGATGGAGTCATTGTCTCTGCATAGCTAGGTGCTTCCTTTCTACAATGTCAAATTCTCTGCCCTAGTTCCTCCCTAGGAAGGGTTATCAAATAGTGGGGTGTTGAGCACTCCTGGTTCACTCTGATGTCTTATATTTCTCTCCTGTGGTTTGCATTTGTCATACTGAAATTGTCATGGAAATCATGGTGAACAGATTACTTACCAAGGGATCTGCCATGCTGCATGATAAGGCTGGAGTTGAGGGAGCCTGGGAGAGAGTAGGCTGAAGGGGAAAATGGCCTTTGGTAGTAACTCATTGGACTCACAGCACCGCCAGAGTTGCCATTCACTGTTATCTGGCTCTGCGAAAAGTGCAGAAGGCATCCCATTATAGCACACAGTTCCCTGTCAACATCACTCCTTTTGGTGACAGTAAAAGTCCTCCAATCACATGACAGTAACCAACTGCCAAGTTTTTATTTATTTTAAAGACTGATGTCAGAGGAGCAGGACACATGTTTTCAGTGTCTTCTCTCTCTCTCTCCAAAAATCATTTTTTCATATATCAGAGGGCATGGGAGGAGGTTAGGAAGGATGGAAGCAGTTGGCCAATGGGCATGCCACTCTGCCAACAGAGATACCCAATGATATCAATAGAAGTCATTGCCAAATAAATGTACAGGGCAAATGTGCTCTTGCAATTGTCACTTAAGTAGTCAGATCACTGTCACACTACTTTACATGCAGGATTTGAAATCAGTGTTCTCTGACACGAGGAAAGGGGTTGTTCTCAGACTTAGTCAAGGATTTTTTCTGGTGAACAAATACTTCCCAAGCATGGTGACTAACATAAGGAAGACAATTGGCTGGACTTATGTATCATAGAACAACTTATTCCAGAAGAGTCACACAACTGGTAAAGCATCAGTAAGACTTGTTAAAACACTGACTTCTCCTTACTTCAACCTCATTTAGCACTCTGATTTCTTGATAACTTTTGTTTTATATATGAGTGTTTTACATTCCCAATGCTATTTCAAATTTCTTCTTGGGGATGGTCATGTATATGCTTCTTTAATAATTTTAATAACATGCAACTTGGTACTAATGATATAGTAGATATTCATGGTAGATATTCATATTCACACATCCAATTGAATTTAATCAACTTATTTTTCTTTTTTCATGCAGGGGATCGAATTCGGGACCTTGTGCTTGTGAGGCCGGCGCTGGAACCACTGAGCTAAATCCCCGGGCCAAATTTTTTTTTTTTTTTTTGGTACCAGGGATTGAACTCAGGTCCTTGCGCTTGTGAGGCAGGTGGCAGAACAACTTATTCACAGAAGTTGAGCTCTGGACTATCTAGCTATAGCACAACAGTGAGGATTATGATAATTACATAAATGCATGCAAATGAGACAAAACCTTAGTTAAGAACATTTAGTTGAAATTCCCTTTGAACACATGCACACAAAGGCCTATAATTTATGAACTTGTTCTACTTATTTTGAAGGAAATAAGGTTCTATTAAGCAAGCTTGAAACAGACAATTGCATTTTTCCATACTTTGACTTTAAAATGTGTTATGCTTTCAATGACATAGAATAAATCTAATTTCATTACTTTATAGCCATATCACACATGTTTTAAAATCAATACACATTTCTTTACAAGGATTGTACTTATTGGATACTTTTTTAAGCTCTTAGAAAAATTGCTTTTATATTATAACTAACCATAGTTTTGGGAATCTTCTACCTGAAGAGAATTGGACAATCAAATAAATGTGAGGCACAGGCCTGATCAAATGCTTCAGAGCCTTCATGTACCTCTGATGAATGATTTGAGAATATTTTTGTCTCCTTGCCAAATCAAGTTTGGTGGATCTTTATAAATATAATCTTAATGTCATTATTATAATGTGTTATAATTAATGTTAAAGGTAGAAAAATCATTTTAATTAAAGATCACCAGGCTACAAGGATCAGAAATATTTCAGATTTCTTGAATTTTGGAATATTTATATATAAATGTATGTGTGTATGATGACATACATGACATATAATGACATATCCTTGGAATGGGACCCAAGGTTAAACATGAAATATATTTATATTTCATATAAGCCTTATGCACATAGCCTGAAGAAAATTTTATGTACCTGCATTTTTACTGTGACTCATGACATGAGGTCAGGTGTGAAATTTTTCACTTACAAAGTCATGCTAATGCTCAAAAAGTTTCATTATCTGAACTATTTTGAATTTTGAACTTTTTGGCTAAGGATAGTAAACTTAGGAAACTGGCTCAGAATCCTATTTTGATGGTTTCAGTACTGATTAGGGATTTGTAAAAACACTAAAGTGTTTTATTTGTAAAACCAATTGAGATTTTATTAATTAAAGAATACCATTAGAATTGTAGGAAATAATTTGCAGTGAATTATTATCTCATGGAGGATCTATGTGTAGTAAACTAGAATTAATTTCAGTCACAAGAACCTCTGATTAATATACCCAAAACTATATACATAAATGAGGATCACAAACAGAATTGCAATGAATATCCTAAAGACATCCTAAAGAGAAAGTTGAAAAGGTTAGTACAAATATTAATATATTTTCACTGCTTTGTACTTTTTTGCCAAAGGTCCTAATAAGTGCTTAAAAGTTAAGAACCATTTTAAGCATGGTGAGATATGGGAGATACCCAAACCTGTTGAGTACTTGGTAGCAGGGACTGGTCAACTAAGGCACAGAGAGGCATTTTTGGTGGTGTTAGCTCTGGAAAACGGTTTATACCCAGCTATTGGGTGAATATTATGTCAATCCAAAAAAACTGTCTTTTATTTCCTATTATTGCAGTGTAGTTAAAAATATCTGGTTTACTTTAATATTTCTGTGTGCATGAAAGTTGCAGATTTATGTTTTTGATAGAATATAGAAACCATACAAATAAAGTTTTATTTATGACAGTGCTTATTTGGAATTTTATCATAATATAAATTTCAGGAAAAAATTCCCATTTTTACCCCAAATTATCTGCCTTTCAAATGGATGCTACTACCTCTAAATTACATACAATTGAAAATCTGTGTCATAATGTTTTAAAGTATTTTAGCTATTTATTAGGGACTGCTTAACAATAATGTAATATGCATGAAAATATTTACATATTGATACAAATGGATGGCATTGATATATGAAATAAAAAATAATAAATTTCTATCCTGGAATGGCTAAGGAAGAATAACTTCAAAAAATCATGGGCTAAATTTCTGTAACATAGATTAAAATTATTTGCACTATTCACTCTTGTATGATAGAAGACTTCAAAGGATATCACTGTTAGTGAAAAAAGAGTGAAAAGAGTTAGTATGATGCAGTCAGTAACCACTTAGGCAAAAAACACAGAACATATTAGCCTGTTACGAATACTTTTATCTATAAGGTATTAATACTAGGTTAAAATTTTTGAAACTTTTAGACTTTTTCTGTAATCTAACCATAACAATATTATGATTCATGTTTATCTAAATTTCTGAGATAACTTTTTAGTAAGGCAAATCACTGTATAACTCACTAACCATAGCAACCCAGTAAACCATTCTAAAATAACCATAAGTCACTCTAAAACAAATGAAGAGACTATAAGTAAATTTTCACTGCAAAGTTGGTTTAATAAGAATGCCTGTACTGGATCTCCCTGACAGGTAGTATAGAATCTGTTTACTCATCAACACCGAAGCAAATAAAAGTGCTCAGCTGCAAAACAAGATGGCAGAGAAGAAATCAATCCTTTTTTAAAAATGGCGGAGGCAAAGGAATGAAGAATAATTACATGAGTGGCAGCAGGGGTGGTTAGGATGGTGCCATCTGTCACAGCAGACCTCTGACCCGAGGCTGGGGAAGGTGTCTCAGAGCAGTCAGTGGTGTCAGAGTTACCCATCTGCAGCTCAACTAGAATGGCTGTGGAGGACTCGCTCTCGGAGAGGGAGGAGTCTGTCCTGAGAGAGCCTGTGTCCTGGCTGTGGATAAGGCGTTCAAGAGCTGGGGTAGGGTATTTATATAAACAGTGTGGAAAGCCCTGAGGCTTATACAGGCCTGAAGGTCCCAGATCATCAGGTGCTGATACTGGGCTGAAGCCACTGCCTGGTGAAAAAGTGGTTTGGTTAAATGGAATCACAGGAGAATGGCACGAAGAAGCAGCTTCTGATGTGGTTTGTCTGTGTGTCTGTGAAGCATTTACCTCCAACACATTGGCAGTTAAGTGCTGATTTCCACTCTGAGATTGAGGAAAAATAATAAGAAAAGATATAAGTTATCCAATTAACAAAAAACATGTCCTTTGCAATATGGTAGAGGAGGCAAAGCATGGGTTTTATCTGCAAGCACTTCAAGGAAATACATTCATGGACTAGGTGCCAACCACACAGCACAGAAAAAGCATGAAAACACAGAAGAAAATAATCCAGTCAGTTTTTTCTGGGAATGAGACCAGTTTTCACACAGCACTGCAATATAAGTTTGGGTAGGGAGGCAAGAGCATTGACATAATGGAATTTCTTCAGAAGAGTATTAGTTTTTATCTTGGTGATAGTGAAATGCTATCAAATTGTCTGTTGGTTCAATGAATAGTGTGATTTCCAGAAGGACCATCTGGTAGTATAGTTCTTCTATTGCCTCCCTATCATCAAAATCTCTCCAAATCATAAATCAGTTTGGTTCATTTTCCCCCTTGACTTATGGATTTAAATAATGATCAAACTAAAAACAACTAAGTGGAAAGAGAATTATTTTCCTTTCTTTCCACTCATTGAATCTATTCTTTGATTTCACTACAAAATACTAAAAGAATTGAAATTTAAAACAGCAATGAAAATGGAGATACCTGTGTGTGAAAATAAAAACCAGCCAGTGGTAATAGTTAGAAAGTACTCTAATTGGTTAGAAATACTATTGGTATTACATTTTAGGTAAAGGAGAAAGAAACCGAAGGAAAAACAAAGTTTTAAGATGCTCTCCTCCCCTGTTCCTACAGCTATATATAACCAAGAAGCTAGCCATGCTGGAGAGATTGTCTGCAGCAGGAGGAGAAATGATGGCCCCTTATGTTGTTGTAGCCATCTGCTACAACCTTGAGGGCATATGATCACAAATGTCAACGATGATGATAAGCCTCAAACTCAATGAATGAATGAATGAAACTCTGAAGCATTTTTTTGCTTTATTCTCCCTACATTTCAGAATAGTTTGTAGTGTTTGAGATAGTTCCAGTTAAAATGGCTAGAAATATCGTGGGATTTTAGTGCAAAGATTTGGGATATGTTAAGGAGAAATATATAAACTTAGAAATACTGCCTATTAAAGATTTAAGTGGTGCCATTTGGTGTTCCTGGCCAGTACAATTTTCATAACAGCTGATGTCATGCAGACTGTTGGCCTCATGGAAGTCATCATTAATTTTTTTTAACCAAACTTTTAATTGAGTACTTTAAAAAATCCATATAAAAAGGTCTCAGGTCACAGATCCCTGAGAAACATATTGAAATTTATTCTTAGGAAAAACCCCACAAATCCATATGCATATAAAATTCTGCATAAACTTCAGGGTTTCATAGACACTCTAAAGTGCATCCTTAATCTAAGGTTAAGAAATTGTAACCAACACCAAATGAAAAGGCAGCTTTCTTGTTATTTTTTATTTTCAGTAGCTTTTTCTTGTTGTTTAAACATAGTCATTTTAAATGTGATACTTTTTCTTTTACTGTTTATGGCTTTAAAATCTCTAAAATTAGGGCTGGGGATTTAGCTTAGAGGCACCAAGCCTGCCTCGCAAGTGCAAGGTCCTGAGTTCGATCCCTTGTACCAAAAAAGAAAAAAATCTCTAGAATTAACCTCCAGAAATATTAGTTACCTAGACATAAAATATTTTAATAGCAACAAATCCTTTATATTAGTAAATATTTATAATAATTGCAGGTTTTATGGGAGGTAAAGCTACAATACTATAAAACTACAGTAATTATAGTTTAATACATTAAAATTTTGCTTCAAGCCTGAGTGGAATTTGGGTATAAACAATTTTAGGAGGGCCGGGGATTTAGCCTGGTGGTTCCACCGCCTGCCTCGCAAGTGCAAAGTCCTGAGTTCAATACCCGGTACCAAAAAAAACCAAACAATTTTTGGGTAGTATTAGTGGAATGTATTATCATAATGGAGTTTCATTCTGACAATTTCTATAGAAAATGAATCTTTTTGAATTTTGCTTATGCTAAGTGAAAATTCTGTTAAATCATGTTCATCAAATAAAGGATTTGAGTTATCTGCTCAAGTGTGATTTTTTCCCTTTAAAATTAGAAGGACAAATGTAATGACTGTGGGTCTCAAAGATGTGTTTATATCCTTTGACTTGAAATGTGTCAAAAGCTAGAGCATGTGCTTTCTAAAATCATCATGATCATAGGTGACATGATTATAAATTTGATTTTACAGCTCTGTGTCTGAGAATGGTCTGCATCCATTCAAATTGTTCTTCCAAAGAGAATCTAGAAGTATTCCACACTTCTCTCAGTACCTCCAGACATGCTCAGAATTTTGAATCTGTGTGTGTGTGTGTGTGTATGTGTAACAAGTGAAATGCCCTTTGATAAATCACATCAAACTTAAATTTTATAGCTAAAACTATGATTCAGTGGTGGGCCACCCATAAATGCTTTGAACTATTGTGCCATAGAGATGTCAATTACTTTGTGGACTTCATACTTGGAATCCTTTTACTTGACCCTGATCTCCACATTAATGAAATACCCACTAGATACTTAAAGACTGGGAACCATCTCATACATGGTCAAAGGAAAGTGTGAGAAGCAAAAAGAATGTGAAATAGGGAGGGAAGAATTACTTTCTCACTTGAAAAAAATATCTAGGGTAGGTTTATATAAAAATTGGGCTTTACTTCCCATCCCCAGTGCTTCTATGATGACCTCCCTCCTTTTTTACAGGCTTGTCTAAGAGAGTGGGAGGAAGTGCCCAGAAGCTGCTCATGTACTAAGAAACAGTTTTCTGGCCTCAAATGACTATATAGGTGGAGGAATAGCAGAACTGGGCCAAGTGGATCCTCCCTCCTTCCTGGGAATTTCAGTTATGCAATTCTGAATGTCCCAATCAGGTAGTTGTGGGTTAGGTATCCAAATGTAAGAAATCAGAGAATGTCATAGCAATCCATAGACAACTTGAAATAAGGAGAAGGCCAAAAGTAAAAGAGATGATTGCACCATGCCCAGGCATGATAAGACAGAGAGAGAGAGAGAGAGAGAGAGAGAGAGAGAGAGAGAGAGAGAGAGAGAGAGCACCTACCTGTCATTCTCCAGTTTGCTGAAGGCATGGCTATACTGCTTGCATTTAAGTGATGAAAGATCATTTTACAGCCTCCTAATACTAAGACTTTTTAACCAGCAATCTTGACAGCCACACAGTCCCTACCACAGATCAGTGTCACAGGTGATCTAAAATAGGCAGGCACAATGCCAAGCTTCTTATGTGCATCATCTTACTCAACCTTCACAGCGACTCTCTGAGATGAATGTTATTATTGGTCCTATAGATGAAGAAACTGAGGTTCAGGGAGAGTGAATTGTAACAGATGAAAGCTGGGATGTTAATAGCACCAAAGGGTTGGTTGTTTAGGTGTTCTTTTCCCAGTCTTTCTCAGTCCCGCTCCCACAGAGTCCTCCTCCCCACTACTAAGTCAAGATTAATTGTTTAGATCTCATCTTATACTTGCCCCATCAGCAGCATTTGCACTGTTCACTATCTCAACTGCTCCATGCATTTTCCTCCCTTGGCTTTAGCATGTTGAATTTTCCTAGATTTCTCCCTCCTTTGGAGGACACTCTTTAGACTTCCTGGGCATTTCTTCCTTTAATGTTAAGACTTGCTTGAGCTTAATTCTTGGGATTCCTCTTTTCTTCATACTCCCTGGTGATCTCAGCCTCATGGCCACAAAACCACCCATAAGCTGATGGTTTTTTTTTTTTTACCTCCAACCCAGATTTTCTCTTGAAAAAGACACTCTCATCCAACTGCACGCTCTGCCTCTCCTCATGTATGTCTAAGAGACATCTTTAACTCACCATGTCCCAGATATACCTCTGCTACTTCCTCCAACCTGCCCCACCCACAGCTTTTGGATATCAGTTGATGGCGATTCCATCCTTCCCACTGAAGTTGACCTTCCTCTTTCCCTCACATCCCACCTGGAGTCTTCCAGGAAGTCCTGTTGGCTTGACTTTCAAAATACATTCACACATTTGGATTTCTCACCATCTCCTTTGCTTCCACTTTGCTTTAAGCCACACATCACTTCTTACCTAAGTTATTCCAATAGTTTCCTAGCTGGATTGCCTTCCCTCCTCCTTGCCCCACTCTAGTGAGTTCTCAATTGAGCTGGTAGAATGATTTAGTTAGAACAGAAGTCAAATAATAGTGCCACAAGCTTAAATCTTGCATGGTGTCTCTTATCTGAGACACCCAAAATACAAACAAACTAAAAAGCAAAATAAAAGATGGACAATTTTCCAATTATCTAGATCTTTTGCAAAGGGAAGGTGACAAAGATGTAGGGAGGAAGAAGAAGGGGAGAAGAAGAGGGTAAAAAAAGAACCCATTTATGCCAAAGGCTACAATTTTTGAAAGTTTTGCATGAAACTCATATATGTTATGTAGAAAAATTCAAAGAACAAGAATTTCAAGAGAAAATTTTTTAATGTTCCATTGTTATATGTTGCCCCCCTAAAATGCAACACTAGGCATACAAGTATTAAGATACGTTATGTACCTGTCCCAACTACCCACAATGAATGTAATCATTATGTACTGCAAGTGTATACTAATAAAAATAAAAATTGAAAATGATATAAAATTAGAAAACCAAAAAATAGTAGTGGCTGCCTCAAAATCCTTCAGTGATTCTATTTTATTGAGTAAAAAAGTCAAGGTCCTGCAATGGTTTTCAAGGACTTCTGTCATCTGGCTTCTGTTACTTCTGACTTCACCTCCTATTACTCTGTGCCTCACTTCCTCTCCTTCACTCTGGCTTCCAACATGTTTCAGCCCGAAAGCTTTTACAGTAGACATTCCCTCTGCCCCAGGATTCTTCTGCCTTTCAAAGCTGTCCTCTTTTCACTGAAGTCTGTTTGACTGTCCTGCTTGAGTCAGATGCTCTCCACATCTCTGCTTAGCCCTCCTTAATTTTATTTCCATAATCCCTTGCTAATATATGTATTTTGCTTAAGTGTTTATCAATGTTTAATCCCCCATACACATATCAGATTTTAAGTATTGATGCCTTCAAATCCAGCTCTGTAACTAGAACTTACACACCTAATAGGTGCCCAATAAATATTTGTTGAATGAAAAAAAGTGACAGGATCTTAACTCTTAATTTTCATATCATGCTAACATTCTGGGAATTGTGTAACTAAGCTATCTCTGGTTCACTTGGAGAGTGACAAAATCACATGAAAGGAAAGTAAAAAGTGTCCTGTCCCCCACCACAAAACTCTGACTCCAATTCCCAGCGCTATAAAACAAAACAAAACAAACTTCTGTTTTCAAAGATAATAAAATCATTTTGATATAATTTTGTGACGAAACTGTGAAGAGAAACACATTTCTCTTCTAAAGAGACAGTAAATATCAGTAGAATGTTACTTTGAAAGAATTTTATATATGTGGAAATATTTACTTCCTCAAAGTCTGGGTAATTAAGGCTGATTGATAACACTTTCTAAAGTGGCAAACTGATCACATTTCAGTGAAAGTTAATATGGTATCACAGTGAATTAACACTGCCTGAGATTAAGACAAATGTTTCCTGCTAAAGCAAATTATAATCGATAATTATTTTAAGAGATTTTGTGCATTTAAATAAACTAAATCTAGCTACCAAAACATCTGATATGAGAAATATCTCTTTGAAACCTGAAAATACTTTCCATATTGAAATAGTTTCCACTGTCTCAAGTGATAACTGATTCATCAGTGATTTCTAATAAATATCTGGAAGGGAGAAACTTTTAAAACATGATTTTTAATAAAAGATTTGTGTGTGTGTTTAAATAAAAAATACCCAGATGTTTACTTATTATTTTAGTCAGGTTTTAAACTGTAAGGCAGTTTCTTTCTCCTTTTCCTTCCTGCTTGGAAATTAACAAAGCATTCGGTTATATAAGAAGCCCAAACCAAAGGAGTTAGGGACTGTACAATACACATGTAAGAAGAGACTGGAAAGTGTAATGTATCACCCGGCAGTCTGAGGACTGAGAGGTCGCAGCAACTGCAGATTTTTGTCTCTCTTGCTGAAGAGGTATCTTTGTAGTCTCTGGAGAAAGCTCAGGTAGCTGTTTGTGGCTTTCAGGATCTTGTCCTGAAAGAGGAGCTATCTGAATGGAAAGAGATGCTGTGTGTACCTCAGGCACTGGTTTAGGGGGTGGTGAGCAAGTTTTTTTGAGAAATGAAGGAACTTCAACAGGGTTAGAAAACCGTGGAATATGAAAGGGGATGGTACTTCCCAGATCCTGGTTATGGGTTAGTTTTAAGGTAGAAATTCTCTGAGTTTGAGAATCTTGCATGTAGTTCTCTTGTAGAAATGGGGTATTGATGTTGGCAAATGGTGCAGGACTTGTGCTGGAAGCTCCTGGAAGTGGATTAGCAATTTTTTGTGTATATGACACAGTTGTGTTGGATTCTTCAGAATATATAATTGTTGAGTTAGAATCTTCGTTAGAATGCATAGTTCCTGGAAGAGGCTTTTTGTTAGTAAGAAATTCTGTACAGGAGGGAGTTTGTGTGTTTGTTTCTGATGAGTCTAAAATGTCACCCTGTGTGTGACTGGTTATCAAGGAGCTACAAAAGCTCTCTTTTCTGGCGGGTGGAAGGGGTGCCTATGTGGCCAAGAGCATCCAGAAAAAGAAATAATATTGAAGGAAAAACAAAGAGAAAGTTATAGTTAGTCATAAAAGCAACCAGTGTCTGCCCTGCTCTTAAAGATAAAACTATATTCTATCTTTTTATGCTATGCATTTTGTTGGCTGGATTGAATGATCATTTTTACTCCCATTAGAATGTATTTTAATTTATTATCAATAGTTGCCCTCGGGGGAAAATAATTTTTGTTTTTAAAGAATCCATTATAAAGTTTGCCTTCATCTGCATTCTGAGAATTATATTAAAAGTGAACATATGTTCTCTTGGCATAGTTTTGGACATTGAGGTCTATGGTTTATTTAGTCACGTTGTTTTATAGCATTTTTCATGCTTGTGACACAGTTTTACTACTATCTACAAAAGTTCCTTTAATTAACATAATGAATAGTTGCATAACTATTTATTAAATACATAATGTATTGCTGACCTTAAAACTTTGAAATCACAAAACACCAGCAGTAAGCTTTTTAAGAATTAGAACACTTCCTAAACATTATGTTAGAAGCTGACCTACTTTGATGAGCTTATTCAGAAAAAAAAAAAAAACCAAAACCAAACACTGCCCATAAAACACCTGTTTTGAACTTAAAACTTGTTTTCTATGTTGCAAATGCAAGTCCAGCAACAAAGGAAATACAAAAGCAAAAACATACTAAAAATAAAATAGGGAAGAGATTTCTAAGGAAGAGTTTCCAAGGTAGTAATCTACTAACAATGTTTTCAAAGAAGAGTAGACAAGAGCATGCAGGATTACCTGAGTTGGAGATTTTTTTTCTTGTAGGTTTGGTCTAACACTTCTGAAACCTTTTGCTGCAAGAGAGGAATATGTAGCATCTCCGTTCAGTGTCTCTTGTATTCGATCATTGTAAGATCTCCAAGCTTTTATTAGGAGAAAACAAATTGGATACAAAAATATCTACGTTCACTCAAACACTTTTTAAAGAAAATGTACTTCTATTTCAAATCTCAAACTGCTTTTACTAGAATTTTAATTTACTATACATTTTAGCAGATGATTTAAGTTTAATGTGAGAACAACAATGCTGCAACACGTGTCAAAAAATCCTCACAACGAATTTAATAGTTACTTAGAGTATCTTTTCTGTACCTGAGTCTGGTGACTGAGAATCACGCCCTGAAAGACAAAAAGAATGTTGATATTAATCCTAGGGTGAAATAAATGAACAATTCAGTAAAAATATTTGCAAAGAACCACATATATTATTCTCACAGACATTATCTCAGTTTTAAAACTCTGGGTACATTAAATGTAGTAATGAAAGGTTTGTGCATTAGTTTTAACTTCAATGGGAATATCATCTATTTAAAAATAACTATACTATATAATTAACACATATATCAAACATTAATTTTTCCTTTTAATAATATTGCAGCTATATAATTTTAAGCTTATTTTTGCCCAAGATGGATACATGAATTTCTGAATATCAAATTAAAGGATCACAAAGGATCTGGTTTGTAAACTCTGGCTACTTTTCATAGTATTAAATCAAATCACCAGATCCTTAGCAGGTAAAAGCTCAGCTGTTACTGACTATATTTAACTCCTGTGTGAGACAGAGAAGAATCTTCATATATGTATATATATATTTTTTTTAAATTTTATTTTAAAAAGTGGCAAATGTATCTAACATATTATGTATCTAACATATTTTTGACTTTAAGTTTTCTTCCTACTGTCATTTAAAAGTCTTTTTATTCAAATATGAGAGAACTGTTACAATGAATTCCATTATCTTTCAGCTTACAAGCTGTGAAGAATAAATTTTAGTAGTAATGAATAGCTTTTGATAATACAGATGGAAATTGGCGCAATATCTACATATATATTTATTATCAATTTTATTGGAATCACACATTCCAGAAACTTTTATATGCACATTTGAGGTAATTAAGTATGCACTTTGAGATTGTCATTTTGTTTTTCTTGGTTCTATTAGAGAATATGGCCACCTTCACTTAAACTCATAAAGTCGACCTTGGAAAGGATACTAAGGGGTCAGTTAGCTTAACCTGCTGTCCTGTTTCTGGTTTTCTTCTACATGTTCCTTAGGACCATTATTAAATTGATGTTATTTCAATGACTCCTTCTAATGGTTTCCTTCTAATGTTTTGGAAAAGATTATTTTGAAATCTAAACATATGAATTTGGAATGATAAAAATGGGCTGAGAAGTCCAAGTGTTCACTTTAAAAATATGAGACAATTTTTTTCCAAATGAATGTAAGAAAAATAAATGTAAATCAGCTAAAAGTACCTTAGAATGACTCCAGGTCAAATGAGTTAGACAAGACTAATAAATTTTCATTCTGTATCATATTTGATCACTTATCTTCAACAAATGAAAATTGGAGTAATAAAATGAGTACACACTGTAAAAATAACTGAAGAACTACACTTGAAATGTTCACTAGACCCTACTTCTATGTTTTGATGGAGGCTGAACTGATTCAAAGGCATCATTTAATTAATCTAAAGAATGATGAGAACTTTATAAAGTTGTCAAACATAGCTTAGCAATACAGAGCAATCTTTAGAATTCTGCTTTGGGGCACTCGGAGAGAGACAGTAGTAATGGACAAAAAACAAATTTAGGGGCTCAGGCAAAGGGCAACACAATGGGAAAGAGGATTAATAGTAATTCTACTTTATATTATAATTGTTTGCAAATTGAGAGTTTATTTTACTCTTGATTTGAGAAAATTCAAAATAAAAAAAGGAAGGTATGTTCTGGGAATAGAGGAAACAGGAGGCAAAAATGCCCGAAGCAGGGAGGGTGTGGATGTTATTAGAAAAAAGGACTAATGAGCTGGTTTGAAGGAGAGTTGTAATAAACTTCCTCCAACAGTTTGCAGAAGGCCAGCTGTTTCTTCACACTGGTGACCAGACCAGAGGTTATGGTGGTAGAATCAGAGGGCAGTCCCTCTAGGCTCAATGGCCGGCTCAGGTATGCTATAGGAAACATGACATATTAATAATGCTGAGCTTCATTGAGGCGATACTCTTAAGTGAAATAAATAGGACACACTTGTGTAAATACTGAATAGTTTCTCTGGTGTGAGAAACTGAAAGTGTAAATAAGGATTAAATGTATAATAGGTAATGTGAAATGGAAGAAAAGGGGCAAAGGGGAAGGAAGTGGGAGGGCTAGGGGAAAGGATAGAAGGGAATGGGATTAATATGAGAAAATGGAAAAATAGGAACAAAATCTTTGTAAATAGGGAGGAATGGAGGGGTTGAAAGGAGGGCTGGGCAAGGGTGAGAAATAAGAACCAAGAGAGATTATGTAAAGGTGCAAATTTCCAATGATGAATGTCATTATATTGTATACCTAAAATGTACCAATGATTAGAATGAATAATCGATAATGCAAAATAGGAAGAAAAGGTCCAAAGGGGTAGGGGTAGTGGGAGGGGCAGGGGAAAGGAAAGAAGGGAAAGGAAAAATGATGAGAAATGGAAAAAATGGAAATAAAGTCTTGTAAATAGGGAAGGGTGGAGGGCATGAAGGGAGGGCTAGGAATGGGGAGAAAATAAGAACCAAGATGCATTATGTAAAGGTACAATTCCCAATGAGAAATGTAATTGTGTTTTATACCTACAATGTACCAATAAAAGAATTTAATACAAAAAAAAATAATGCTGAGCTTTACTCAAAGGCCTTCCCTAACAGAGTGGACAAGATTGTAGAATTAAGAGAAAAGAGAAAAGAGAAAACTGGCCGTGGAGTAAAGCTTCAGGATGAAGTAATAGTCTAATGAAGCATATGTTGGTAATTTGTCTTTTAAGTGATTGGTTCTTTAAAAATATTGAAGTGTGCATGTAAATTTCTTTAAAATAAATTCAGTTGTAGATAGAGTACTTGAAACACTCAGCACTGACTTGCTATTTTAGTATAGTCTTCAGAAGCCCTGGAAGATAAATACCCACCCTCAGGGATACCATTCACTAGTGCCCTATTTTCATTTTATCCTGCCAAGGAAGGTTCAGAAAGGAGGACATATGTGGTTTGAAGAAGGTAACAAAGTATCCTAGGTCTATATATCAAGAAAAGAAAATATAAGTTAAAAAAATAAAAAGTCAAGTGGTAAATGGTTTGGTAGATGCATGGGAAAAGTGGTTTTGCCCCAAATTTTGAACATTATTGATTATTTACTTATAAAAGAAACAGCCAAGATGCTAAAGATCAGAGTCCTTAATTCCCAGTGTTCTTTAGTAGATACCATTGTTTACCTGAAAATTTAAGGGTGAGAAAATGAAACAGGTTTATTATTTTCCTGTTTTGCATCTGAAAATAAATAAGGTCTTGTGAGAGTTGGAAAGTGTTAATGTTCTTCACTGGTACAAGGAGCAGTCCCTACCCTTGAGAAAGTTCCTGGTGTGGGGTTAGGTGTTGGACCGCATACTCTTGAAGATCATTCCCAGCTTTATGATTCTAACATTATGGTTTGTATGTGGCAGTGTTGGGGATACTCAACGGTCAAATCATAATCTCTACTCTCATGTTTTATTTAAATTCTTTGAATTAATATACTATATTGACACTATCGCCTACATCTTTCTTGAAATTATTATTTTTAAATTTTATTAATCATTTCTCTAGAGATTCAAGGGCTCTCCCAGATTATTTTAAACATATTAATTAAATTCAAGTCAAAATACTTGAGTACCTACTGTGTTTTTAACTAGCACGAGGGCCTTTTCATTAATTTTCTTTACTTACCCTCCTATAATTTTGACAAATCCTTGTGAGCTTGGGAAATGATGAACTTTTCAGAGAGGCAGGAAAATGACAAATAATATTTATTTCTTAAGCAAAGTACAAATGTTATCTCAGATAGCCAAGTATGTTTAGTGAAGTGAAATGTACTTTGATTGTTTTTCTATGGCCATTGTTTTGGTTCTAACAAAGGTTTAAAACATCAGTGTGTGATATGATTAATTATCCAGTGGGACTTCATATCCTGTAATAGGAAAAGAGAAGACAGATTGACATGGGGGACAAACAGTTGATGATTCATAGACTTTATGATCTGCAAGAAGAAGGGAGGCTTGGAATCTTGTGGAAGTAGTCTAGCTTTTATGTAAGGGCTGCTGCATTTCAACAATATTGAATGCAATAAATATTTATTAATTCTCTTCTGATTCTCATAAAGACACTGTCAAATGATTCCATGAAGGCTACTACGGAATGTGATTGTGCATAAAACAAGCTGATTTCTTTCTTCAAAATGTCATTAAAATTTATTTGAAAAAGACCTCATGTGTCTAACTGATTTAAAAAGGGTCTGTTTTCAAAATTCAGGGGACTTTCATATTCCTGAAGTATTAAACTTTTTTACTGTTTTGATTCTGAAGCATTCTATCTTTTGAAATAAGTTGAATAATATGAAACTGCTTAGCTTCTCTTTTGACTTTCCAAAATGACAATCTTGAGTTCAGTCTAATACTATTCTTTTGACAGTTACTTTTATAATAACAAATTAGCATTGTTGAATCAGTGTGTCATTCCCTAGCAATATATCAGTGGTCCATGTATGAGATTTTAGTTGATTGGAAGGTCAATGGTATTCATATATAGGCATCTAATTCCATGATAGTCTTGGTGTTTATTTTCTTCTCTTCATTCTAATTTCCCTGAGGTACCCAATATTTTCCCTGAGGTATCCAGGAAATACCCAATTTCTCTGAGGTATATGAAGTTTACCACTATGTTCGTATGCATATGTTCATTGTACAAATATATACAAATATATCCAGAGAGACTTTTTAAACAAAATCAGCTCATACTACATGCATTGCAATGAAACTTGCATTTTTTAAACTTAATATATTGAGGGAACCTCTTGGCCTGATATTTCAGGTTGAACACTGAAATCCACTTATGGAGTGGAGGTGGTGGGTGGAAATGGAATTGTCCATATGAAATTTGATTTTTCCTTAACAAAACTGGGTAGTTTAGAATCAAGTAGATTTAAAGCTACGGACAACCTCAATATTTAATCAACTGCTAAATGTATGTGTGTAAAAGACTGATATGAAGAGTGAGAATTAAAATTACTTAATGACTCTTCAATCTTTTCCCATTTCAGTTCCAAAACAAATTAGCCTTATAAATAAAACCAAGGAAACCTCAAAATGCAACTACCAAGCCAACACTGAAAGTAACTAACCAAAAAAAATAGCTTCGAAAGGTTTGGTTATCCTTCAGGGTCTAGCACAGGGCTTTGCCGGGCTTGCTTAGATCTTCCTTATCAGCAGCCTCCTCCTGATGCAGACTGTGCCTTCAGTCTTGGCTAAGTCATGATAGATATTTATTATGAAGAGACCCACCTCAGTGGATATGAAGTGTCATCCCTTCCCTTACTTTCTAGCTTGTATTTTTATCATATTAATTTTAATTGACTAAGATTTTGATATATTAGAAGGGTTTTTGCTGATTGGACCACAGGAAAGTTAAGGTCTTCTTCAAAACTAATATTTTATTATTCTTTTTTTGTAATTTTTGGTGAAGAAGCAACCTACTTAAGATTCACTTTACAGAAATTCTCTCTTCTTGACTCTTTGGGTCCCCCAAAGAACACATGAGTTATCTTAATGGAGTATTATGTTACTTTATTTCATGAGGTAACAAAAACTTAAATAGTTATTAACACTTGAAGTTACTCAATATATTTTTGGCAAATGACTGCTGTTTCTAGTTAGATTTTTAAATGTTTTCTACTAGATATCAGTTTCCTTTGGTTTTTTATTTTTAGAACAAAACCAGAAGAGATAGAGGCTATTTTAGGGACAAGAAAAATAAAAAGTTGTCAAAGGATATTTACAGCCGCTATACTCATCCAATCAAAATACTTATGGAGAGAGAGAGAGAGAGGTCAGGTAAAGCCATTCAAGTGTGACATTCTGTGAGTTAGTGATATTATACCTGCAGCCAATAGGTTTGGAGAACTTTGAACTCTCTTCACAGATGTTAACGTAACAGACATGGCAGCACGTTTGCGAGCACACCCACCGCTGTCTGGAAGCAAAAAAATGATATAGCAGAGGCCAAGGCAACAGAGAAAGCACATGCAATATCATGCATTTTAAGTGAAATGTGCCAGACATTCATGAGAAAGATGAACAGTCAGAATTAGTAACCATGGAGTACATCTGCAAATTTCACAGCCATCTCCAAAATAAAGCACAAAACAAAACAGGGGTCTGTTTCAGAAACAGATGCCATTGGTTTAGAAAAAGGACAAAAACTTTTATATTTGACATTTGGTGTTTATGTTTTTTTGAGAAAGGGTCTTGCTATGTAGTCCAGGGCAGGACTGAACTTGTTGTATTGCTCAGGTTGGCCTTGAATTACCATCCTTCTGCCTCAAACTCCTGAGTTCTGGGATTATAGGCATGTACCACCATGCCTGGCTCTGTTTTTTTTTTTAAATTAAAACCCAGGCACAGAAGTTAATTGTGTTTGTGTCATTTATATTCAACACATACTAAGTCTATAAGCACTTAGCTAGTTTTTGAAGTTTTGTATTATGTATATTCCTAGGTTAAAAGCTGTAGTATAATATACTTTTGTATTAATCATTCAGGTTGCATTGTATTCTAGCTATTATGATTCCTAAAGGTAGTTTGAATAACTTTTGAAATAAAAGTTATTGTGGTAAAGCACTTGCCTAGCATGCATGAGGACTTGGGTTTGATTCTCAGTACCTAAAAATAGTTATTAACTGACATAGGCATGATATGTTTTATGATATATAATTTATAAAGAAACACTTAGCACTACGGAGATCCCATGTTCGTCAAAAGTTATGGAAATTAACCTAGTTGAAATCAGAGACAGCATTGAAATATACAAACTATAATTTTGAACTGATTTATTGCTTTTTCTATGTTTAAATAATATGTATATCATGAGCTATACTGTATTTACACTTAAACATGATAGTTAAGTAAAATAATTGCAAATACATCAGCTATTTGTGTGGTGTGAGAAGTTTAGACTTCTAAATTTGGAAGATAAGTCTCCTAAAATTAAAAAATTAATGAATATTTATGAATAGATTCCATTCCATTCCACATTCCTTTGTAATATAGCATGTACAATAAATAGTTTTCCTCATTCCTATCATTTTGCTCATTAAGTCAAAATAGCATAAATTGCTTTTGAAGGTTATGACAAAAAGACAATGTAACCGCCAATAGATAACATGATCATTACATATTGACACATGTTGTTTATTTTTTCTTTATTTCATAGGGAAAAGTATTTAGTTTTTTATTAACCATAAGATAATTGTGATTAGTAAAGATACATGAAAATATGATTTGAATTAATTATTGGTAAAAGTCACAATTAGTAATGTCCTCAAAAGTGATGAAATTATTTTTATGTAAAATGTATCTTAAAATATACGTTCCAAATGACAATTTCTTAATATACAAAATAATTCGACAGAATGTAACTTGAAGAAACATTAAATTACAATAAGCCAAATGAATCAAAATTTATAATAGAGAATTAAAAGAGAAAGATACAAATGGTAGAAACTTACATTGGAGTTACCTTTCAGAGAGGCACCAAAAGCATTCTAACAAATTTGACAAGCCAAAAATAGCTACGAGAAGCAAATGTGTCTGCTAAAATGGAGATAATGTTATTGAATATAGAGTATCTAGTAGCTACTGACTGGTCTAAAAGGGGTGGGTAGTCAGGGGTGTTAAAAGTGAAGGCTGACATCACTCTAAGAGTGATTTTATTTTTCTATTATTTTAATTCTGAATATCTGAAAATAAGCAGAGATAAAAAGAAAATTCCACAGTGTAAGGATCCAGGGTGATTGGTTAACTCACTAAGTAATTATGGAGTGGTTAAATTGTTTGTACCTAATTACTTAAGAATAAAATTGCTAGGTATTGCATTTGGCTTAGATGCATCATGAAAAAAAATCACTGAGACATTTGTCACTATAAACCAAGAAAGTTTGGTAATATTTGGGCTAAACAATTTATGTGATTTAGTCAGCTGCCAGCCTAGATCAAGGAAATGCAGAATATTTCTATTAACATCAATTAAAAAGATTATTTCAAAAATTGGGGTTTTGTGAAATTGGAGGAATGGTGAATGCATTAAATTCTGTGTCCACTTATGTAGGAATTGATACTCTCTGGTGCCTTTCATACTTCAGTCCATTGTCAAGAACTTTAAGGCTGGGCTCATCTTTGTACTCATTCATGACCCGAAGCCTTCATGGGTTACCCACCTGGAGGGCCCCTGGAAATTGTTTTCACTGCTAGAAAACACTCATATGGGTAAATCATATTCTCTGAATTATTGGATGTCCTTTCTCTTTTCTTCAATAACTACATCTTATGCCTTAGAAAATAATGGATCACAAGACCTAGGAGATATAACATGTTTTGTGTATTTACTAACCCTGGCTAGTTTCTTATGTAGTTGATTAAAAGCAAAGATAAGATTTAAAATAATTTTTTTAAAAGCATAGTGACTGATATATGGAAATTCAAAGTAGTAATGCAACACTTTAGTGATTGAGAGGTAGATAATGGAGGCCAATTTTATTAATTAGTTACTTAGGAACTAATTCCTGTTTCATTTTTTAAACACAGCAACAATACTTCCATTTCCTAAAGCAGTAGATGTATCTGTTTGTTTAAAATGGTATGTTTTTATTGGAACATTATAGTATTACTTTGAAATTTTAAACAAAAGGTTTCAGTGACTTCTACTCAAGTTTTGCATAGGTTTGAATATATCTCACATATATATGTAAATTCACCCAAATAGGCCAAATAATTCTATCCAAATCAGCATTTTATCTAGAGTAAAGTTCATTCCCTATATATGAGAGGATGGTTTGGAAGGTTAAATTCATATTTTTCCAGAGACCTAAGCATATTTAAATTATTTAGTGTTTACTTTGTTATTAGTGATTGAATTATATGAATAGGAAGATCAGTTATTCAATATATTACACATGAATGCATTATGTTTTGTATAATCATATATGCCTGTAATAATGGGCTTATAACAGGAAAATTTATAAAATGAGGAATATTGAGAAATTATGCTCAACTTAAATCTTCAAGATTATGCTCAGTGCAATCAGTGACTATGACTCCCTCATGCAGACATTCTCCTGGGTCAACTTTGTAGTTTTGCAGCATGCCTCATCTAAGTCCCCCTGTGAGCTTTATATTCTATTTAGTTTCTTCAGTTTTCTTTGCCTAACAATATTTATTTCATTTTCCATGTCTGACTCTGACATTCATTTTCAAAATGCCTTTACTTGCTGCTCTAGAGTCATCATTCTTCTTGTTTTTTGAGCCTCCCTTTTATGTCTCCAATACCCTCATCTTGCCTGTTGCTCTACACACCTACACCAATACCCTCACCTTGCCTAATGCCTACATTCTCAGAAGTCAGTCAACAGAGCATTCTCTGAGGCCAGCTGGAGTGGGTTTCTGCTAAAAGTATTGCTATAGAAAGATGGATATGGCACATGTTTGTACATATGATCTAGGGATTAGACGTTGCTCTCACCAGTGGGATGTTAATCCTTCCTCTAGGCACTTTGATAATAAGAGACAGCAAAAGGCAATGGGCTTTATGTGAAAATATCCTAAGCCATGCGCTTTTGTTTCTGACTTGGGTAATAGGCTAAGACAATTTTCCAGCAATCACTTGTAGATAGGAAAATGTAGTATGTAAAAACAAGTGACACAATTTCAATGACAAAGTTATTTTCCTGAATTATTTTATATAAGAATACCATATATACAATTTGGGAGGGTAGGGAGTGAAGGAGAAATTATGAACTGAAGTATTTCTATTATGGAAACATTTATATTTTATATGTATATAGCATTATCAGCAACATTTTTACAATTAAAATATATACAATACAGACTTCAGAGGTATTGATGCTAAGCTATTTAGAGATACTATTTTCACATCTAAAATTAAAATGCTTATGACTTTATGTGTATTGTGACTATGAATTAATTAAGCTGATTTTTGATGAAGCTTTGGCATTCTATCCACTGATTTTGTCAACGTAAAGAGTTTATAGAGTGGAAATATTTAAATACTTTCACCAGAGCAACTTGACTTTGAATTTATTTTAAGTGACAGATTTCAAATGCATACATACAATTCCTAACATTTACAGGAGGCAGTTTCAAATATGATTAGGGATAAAGGGAGTAAGAGTAGTCAAGAGAACAAAACGCTCTTCCTTTGAGGGCTACAGACCAGAGCACAAAGACAATGAAATAAAGTAATAAATCTAGATTTTACATTTAATCAGAAACTCCATATCACATTTAGAATCAGCAGAGTCCTAAACTAGTGATTCAGGGCCAACATAATTTTTAGAGAGCAGAGCTAAAGAGTTTAAAACTAACAGAGATAGCATACCTGTATTCATTTTGACCTTGGAGAGTTTGTTAGTAAAGTCTTCAGTTTTCCTGTAGAAAAAAAATGATGCATAATTTGTTCACTAGTATGTGGATCAAAATATTGTGAAAGTGTGCTTTTGCTTTTGATGTACCTGTAACTTAATGTTACATTACTGTTAGTCTTATTTAAATCAAGGTTTAATAAGGTGGGCAAAATTTATAATTCTATTCGTTAAATTAATTTATTCTTGGTCCCCTGGTCCTAAACTTATATTTTTGTTTAATGGTCACCATTTAATGGATGAAAATGGAGAAGAGTTTTCATTTTTTAAAATTTAATTTCTCTTACAAACATTTATAGGAATGCTTTTTATTCTTTAAACCTGAGAGGATCATTGGTTAAGTATAACTTTCCAGTGTGAATCAATTTTCATAGTCTAATTTACTTTAGAAAATGATCAAAGAAAACTTTATTATAATAAAGTTTAACTTATTTTTCAGTGTATACAAATAAGCAAGCATGTTTCTATGTTTATCTTTTTTATTTTTTCTGGAACATGTCATATGTCTTTCTACACACTGGGCTGGACAGCCTTAATATTGCTGGTAAGAAAGGGTTGCTAGTGAGGCAAGGGAGGAAGGCAGGGGTCGGCACAGGAGCTTTGAGAAAGTTCCTTCCAATGTTTTTATTTTAATCTCTCAGTATCAAAACTCCTAATATGTTAACCTTAAATGGACAAAATAAATGGAAAAGTTGCCTCAGGGGATGTCTGTGACCAGGGCTGAGGCAACTTCTAAAACAAGAAGGGCTAAACAATTTCCAGAAAATGAAGACTGAAAGGACATTTTCAACTTTTACTTGATCACTCCTTTGGAACTAGGCAACACTTTATGTTTATAGTGGTTTAGGTTTTATAACTACATGGCAAAGACAGTATTTGGGCTGGAGTAATATTGACAGACAAACAAAATGCCAAACACAGAAGGAAGGCTAACTTTCAGAGCACAAAACCTGCTATAATAGTGTTTTCATACCAAGTTAGAGGATTAATGATCAACACTTATTGTTTGAATCCAAAATGCAGATATTTACAAAATGTCTGACACTCAAAAAGTAAAATAGGATTAAGGAGAACAAAGACAGGCGTCACAAATCCTTGAGCTTTTTGTCTTTAAAGTGATGTATCCTATTACTTATGAATGTAATTTGTGAGGTTTTTAAAACTCTGCATTGTTTTAGATGTCAAAATGTGAAATGACTAACTTCCTAATCAGGCAAGACATTTTCCAAGTTGTTAAAAGAAGGGACAAGGTGATTGAGCTCTCAAGAAGAACCTGAAACCAGAAGGCTTCTTGGGTGACAAATAAAAATGCATGATTCTATTTCCCTTATTTGTCCAAAAGCCATTAACAAATTCATGACTGAGAACTCTTTAGACAATTTAAACTAAAGCGAATCTAATCTCTTCTGTTCTGAAAAAGTGTCTTTTATTGTACTTACATAACAAGCACTAGTTATTCTGGAAAGCATCAAATTCCTAGAAGGTTTGCATCTACTGGAAGAAGACAGTATTTCAAGTATTGTCTTAAATTGGAATTGAACCAGGATCGAGACTATGTAGACTGACCATAAAATACAGTACCCTGAACCACAGAAGATGGACAGCAGAGCATTACATTAGGGTGGCAAAATGATTTTCAATTTTTGTTTGGGGCCCAGTTTACTTATGTTGAGTCCTTGTCAAAGTTTTATATGAAAAACAAATTTGTATGTATTCTACTTTGTGGATAGCAATGTATTTGTTTTACTTAAGAACCAGAGAAAACTTTGTTCCCAATATGCCTGTGGCAATAGATTGTACTGGTTGTTCATGCCTGGGCAACAACATAACTTCATGTCCACAGTCTTTTAATTCTACCTGAATTTCTTTCAATTCCCAGACACCTCATTATGTTTGAATAGAGCAGAAAAGCCTTTCTTCTAGATGTGCTTGGGAGAATAGACTGGATAATTTAACTCTTGAGTGGGGGCCTAAAGGTTTGATTGTTTATTCATGGGCACCAACATGACTTTGTCTTACAAGACTGCTTGAGTCCTTTGATTATCCAGCATCTTCCTTTGAAGAGGAGTAAAAGCAAAATGCTTTCCCCAATTTTGATCATCAAGAATTCTGAATAAATCATTTTATTTTTGTAGACCTGAATTTAAACACCAAGTTCATCTATAAAACTAGAGGACATAAATTTTAGTTCTGTTAATGTGAGAGAATTGCCCCGAAAGATTTTCCATGGAATATTTTGGATTCAGTAAATCGCTATGACTATTTGAGATTAATCTATTTGCAGTTCACATAGTCAGAAGAAAAGGCATATGGTCTATGTGGTAAGAAAACACTGTGGGATGTTAGGTTTCTTAATAGATATATTTTAAACCTGAAAATAAAATGTGATTCACATTAAGGTTATGCCCTGGATTTTAACTTGAATTATGTATTTACTTAGAATTGGGATCATTTGCACCACTCTTTCTGGACAATCTGCCCTAGGTAATCAATGTGGGAATGTACTTCTTTTTCTCTCTGTAACTGCAGGAAGATGAGAAGAATTCATAGATGCTAAATGAAATATGGTCAAATGACCAAGTAGTTTATTTTGTTCTTTATAGTCCCTGAGTTTAGAAACACTGAAATCCACCTCAAAGCCTTTTCTGAATACTTTCTTTAAATTTGCAGCCTGTATGCGACGCCAGCTCACAGCCTCCTCTGCCTTTGTACAAAAATTATCGCAGTCAATAGTAAGGTCATGATTGTCCATGAACACTACATCCTTCCCACTATTCCAGAACAAATAGTGCCTGAATATAGGCACATCGTATTCAGAAGTCAAATTATTCGATGCAATTATACATGTATGCCCAGGTCAGAACACATTCAAAATAATTTCTAGGAACAAGGAGAAATTATTACCACCAATACTAAAGAAATGAAAGAACAGGAGGTCACTGGTTTCTTCTTTGTTTTGTTTTTTGAATCAAAGTCCCACTACTTAGTTCAGGCTGGCCTTGAACTTGCTATGTAACCCAGGCTGCCAACAAGAAGGCTATCACCAGGTGTGGCCCCGAAACCTTATACCCCTAAAACTGTGAACCAAACTAAATGTCTTTTCTTTATAACTTGTCCAGTCTGTGTGTTAGTAACAGAATACACACTAATGCAGATGGACCATAGACCCAAGCAGGCCTGGATTCATTCCTATTCATCAAAATTTCAGATATTTTTAAGCAGACCTTCACCTTTGGTTACATCCTAATAAAATAACCTAGACTCCCCTGAAAATATATGGAGCATTATAGGGTTGCTTTAGATGAAAGCAAGCCACATGGTTTATTAGATTAATTGTATGGATTCTCTCATTTCTCAAATATCCCATTTTCAATTTAGCAACATGTTGAAATGGAGAAGGAGTTCTGTTTTCCAGGCAGATTTTCTTTATTCGTTAAGTGAATAGTTCATTTGGCTGAATTTTTTTTTCCGACATCGCAGTGAACATAAGGAGACCTAAGGAAATAGTTGAATAAAATACTTGCCTCTGCTTCAGTCAAAGTTACTGAATCTAAGGGAAAATGACAGTAAAAGGTTGTGATCATTAGCACTTTAAAAATCTTTCCCATTACACTTGACAGCTTATAACCCAAAGTGATGGTAGGAGGAACAGAAATGCCTATAAAGTGTCACACGATGAATCGTGTTACAAATTGCCAAGTGGTAACATCCTGATGGCAGCCATTCCTGCCTGGTTCATGCAGTGAAAGTCTCTCCTCTTTTTCCCACCATCATACAGAGAAGTATAATTTCTATTTTGAGGGGGGTATCTTTGATTGTTTGGAAGAACCATCTTTTTAAGTCATGCTTTTAAGTTCCCCCAACTTTTAATTTTTAAATCTTCCATTTTAATTTTTATATATTGATGTCACAAATCATCTGATTTTTATCTAAATTTTGTATATTTCATACTTAGAATTCAAGTAGAGGCAAATGTTCAATGTTTTGATAGGAATAGAGAAATATCATTTTATGTGTATTTTATTTTTTAAGTTCCAACCCTGAAAGAAACCTTAGGTCACTCACCTCATTTGTGAAGTTAGCTATTTGAGGACAAGAGAAATGATTGTGCCAACATACAATAGTAACAAGCTGGCATTCAAAAGCAGGCAAGCCCTCTTGACCTTAGCAGAGAACATGCAACTTCCCTTAAAGTATATTAAAATGTTTGCACTCAAGCCCACCCCCTCAAAACATAACCGGAGAAAAAGAATTAAAAGAATCATACCACAGCGATATATGTGCACCCATGTTTATAGCAGCACAGTTTGTAATAACTAAAGCTTGGAAACAGCCCAAGTGCCCATCAACTGGAGACTGGATAAAGAAGATGTCGTTGTGGTTTTTTATAAAATGGAGTACAGTCATAAAGAATGAGAAACTAGAGACATTTATAGCTAAATGAATGCACGTTGAGGTCATACTCTTAAGTGAAATAAATAGGACATACATGTGTAAATACCGAATAGTTCCTCTGATGTGAAAAACTGAAAGTGTAAATAAGGATCAAAATGTATAACTGATATTGTGAAATAGGAAGAAAATGTTTAAAGGAATAGGGGAAGTGGGAGGGGTAGGGGAAAGGAAAGAAGGGAAAGGAAAAACTGTGAGAAAAGGAAAAAATGGAAACAAAGTCTTTGTAAATAGGGAAGGGTGGAGGAGGTGAAGGGAGGAAAGGAGAATGGGGAAAAAATAAGAACATCATGTAATGGTACAAGATCCCAATGATGAATGTAACTGTATTGTATACCTAAAATGTACCAATAAACTAAATGGAACCCCCCCCAAAAAAAACCATAACCGGAGAGTGCTAACTAAAGGCTGAATCATATGAGGTAGGGCTTAGTGTAAGAACAAAATATCAGAACTGTGCTTGAAGGTTAAACTACTGGATGAATAAAACTGGGGCTGCTAACGTAGGACCATATATTTATTCCTCTATGATTAAAGGGAAATAATAGTTGCTTG